TGATTTTGATGTTGTTGTTGATGATGTTGTTGGTGTTGACGAGGATGATGATTTTGATGTTGTTTATGATTTTGATGTTGATTTTGATGTTGATTTTGATGTTGTTGATTTTGATGTTGTTGATGTTGATGATGTTGATGTTGTTGATGTTAGTCTTGATGATGGTGTTGTTGTTGATGTTCATTTGGATGTTGTTGTTGATGTTGGTGTTCATGATGTTGTTGTTGATTTTGATGTTGAGGTTGTTGATGTTGATTTTGATGTTGATGTTGGTGTTGATGATGGTGTTGTTGTTGATGTTCATTTGGATGTTGTTGTGGATGTTGATGTTGATGTTGTCGTTGATGATGTTGTTGGTGTTGGCGAGGATGTTGACGATGTTGATTTTGATGTTGTTGTTGATTTTGATGTTGAGGTTGTTGTTGATGTTGACAAGGTTGTTGATGTTGTTGTTGACAATGTTGTTGATTTTGATGTTGTTGATGTTATTGTTGACAGTGTTGTTGATGTTCATGTTGTTATTGATAATGTTGTTGTTGATGATGTTAATGATGTTGATGTTGATGTTGTTGATGATGATGATGATGATGATGATGATGTTGTTGTTGTTGTTGTTGTAGGACTGTCTGTTGGACTGGATTCTGCTGAAGGAGAGTTTTCAGACTGAAGTGGACAAACTTACAAAGTGAGTCATTGTCTCCAGACACAGCCAATATAACAGTTAATGAGAAACAATGATCAGCAGATTAATCATGTGTTCCCACTAAACGCAAATAAAATAATTAATTTTATTTGTCAGGTAAGAGCTAACAATCTGTGTCTGTCACTGATTCCAGCTGTCAGGTTTACGTTACTATAAGCTACATTAGCATAGCCCTGATCAACCAAACTCCATTCAGAAAACAAGCATTTTAAGAGTTGTTTGCTCATCTTCCTGCAGACAGACTGGCAGAGTCTGAATTCAGACTGTTTATAAATGGCCATGATTACTATATTTCAGCATTATCTGGATCCATTTATTGACATTAAATAACAGTGAAATCCCGCTGCAGTAAGACAGATTAAAGGACCGATATTTACTCTCAAACTCGCGTGAGTAATGTGAGGCCAATTTTTGTTTGGCGTAAACCATCAGAGCTCGCTCTCAGCAATCACTGCAGTTCATATATATACATACTTTTATGAATTCACTGAAGACAAACTCTTTTTCTTCAGGTTCAGACATCCGAACATCGTAGATCTGCTGGGCTTCAGTGAAGGACAAGGATCGAGGTGTCTCATCTACAGTTACATGGACAACATGTCCCTGGAGGACCAACTACACAACGTAACACCTGATGTTATAAGTTTCTGTCTTGATATGATGTCCTGTTTTTATATATATATACATATATGTTTATGTGTTTATATGTATATGTTTCCAGGAGTGTGTGTCCCTGTCCTGGTCTCAGAGAGTCACTGTCGTTGAAGAAACATCAACAGCTCTGCAGTTCCTTCACTTCCCCCCCGAAGGACACAAACCGCTCATCCATGGAGACGTCAAGAGGTCAGCATCACCTCACCTGACGTCACATGACCTCACACCTGCATGATGTTGTCCTGGACATTTATAGTTGTATTTTAGCTCCTCACTCAGATTGTGTTTAGTTTGAAACTCAACTCGACCATTCAAAGCAGCTTTAGAAGACGTGGAATGAACTTGCAGTGATCTTTTCGGCTTCAAGTCCATTTTTTCTGGAGACTTTTCACAAAAGTCCAGCGGAAAAATGTTTTATTGTTAATGTCTCTGCAGCTCGAACATCCTGTTGGACCGTCACATGGTGGCAAAGCTGGCAGACTTTGGTCTGGCTCGGTGCACGGCTCGCAGCACGTCGGGACCCTCACCGGCTCAGACGGCGTCGGTCGGTAAGACGGCGACGATTAGAGGAACGCTGGCGTACCTGCCTGACGAGTACGTGAGGAACGGGGAGCTGGGGACTGCCGTGGACGTGTACAGCTTTGGAGTGGTGAGATGCTGTAGGGGCTGATGGGAAATGTAGTTAGACTGGTTAGACTGGCTGGTTGGATGAGAAATGAAAGGTTGTATGTAACATTCAGGAAACCGTGGTTTAGAGTGAACTGCAGAGTGGGCTATAATTACCGGTTGTTATTGATTACTGATCTTCAGTTTGGTTTATTTTATATCTTTGTTTCAGGTGCTGTTGGAAGTCTTGACTGGTCGTCGAGCTCTGGAGAAAGACAGGAAGTCAGGAGAGAGATACCTGGTCAGAACACATCCAATAATTAGGATACTAAATCACTCTTTAAACGTTCCTGTGATGTTTAGTTCAGTAATATGGTTCTGGTTCTGTTTGTGTAGAAGGACCTGGTTGAGGAGGTTGAGGACAGTCCGACCGGTTCTTCTGCAGAAACCTGGAGGAAACAGCTGGACCGCCGGCTGATCCCAGGTCAGTCTGTGTATATGACTGAGTGGTGTTTCCTGCCTGTTGTATCTGCAGCTGCTTTATTCTGATGTTGTGTCTTTAGGGGGCAGTGCAGAGCCTGCTGGCTGTATGGAGATGGTGGCTCTGGCCTGCAAATGTCTGGACAGAAATAGGAAGAAGAGGCCAGCCATGACGAAGGTCAGAGACATTGTTTAGCTCTGTGGAAGTTTTAAAGATCTCTCTTTTCTGTCACTGTGTAGTGTTGTAGAACTTTGCCTCACGCCATTTTTGGGGAATGATTTAAAGGGAAACATACTGTCGATAGAATCAGTTAAATTTTGGCTATCAAAATAAACAATTATCAAAGATAATATATAATAACTTTAATATTTAAGATCGTCTCCCGACATATAAAAATACTCTGCTTTAATAATAATTTGTTTAATATATTTTTGTCCCACATTACATTACATTGTTAAATAGCAACTAAACCCCAAAACCACTTTTATTTTTTATGTGTATTTACTAGTCTAAATAACCAACATCTATAAAACCAATGTCTCCACTTCACAGACTGTGGCCTGCTACGTATCGTTAGCCTGACGATAGCTCTGCCACAGACACCGAATTAGCCTCTCTGAGCCGCTAGCTTAGCTAATGGTATAACACAGGTATACTGTATACTCAAGCATTCTTTAGAAATATATTAAAACAAAACACAAAATGGACAATATGTAATCTGTGGGCTTGTTTAAGACTGAATCAAGGTGTAAATGTGTGTGAGGACAATCAGTTGCATGGAAAGACTGTCTGTGAGCAGCATGAATTAAAATAAAATCACCTTTGCTGTGTATCAGAGAACTGCAGTTACACTCGTGCAGGTCATAGGAAGCCAGTCCGCTCCGTTGTTAGCAGTTACACGCTCTGTGCTAATGCTTTGTTGCAGATGCTTAATTTCGTTGGCGGTGTGCTATCCAGGAAGACATAGGCAGGCTTGTGTGTTGCGGGTGTTTGTAACCGGATTCCAGGATCCTATGAAAGTAAGAGACAAGAGAAAATGAGAAAGGGTGAGACTTGGTGTTTTGTATGACTCGTCAGTTTTATACGTTACTGTGATTCGTTGTGTTGTCACGGGGTCCTGTAGGTGCATCCAGGTGTTAGACTGAGATTTAAGGTGAGCACAGAGAAATCTTCTTCCTTCGGCAAAGTCACACGTCACAAACATCATTCTGTACAGTGGAGGGGGATTTACATAATGTGTGACAAAATAAACGTTTTCACTAACTTAATTGACTTTTTAGTTTAGTTAGAAATTAGATCAAATTTGTCACAAGTTTCTTTTCATTGCATTTCCATGTTATTTTTAATTCTCCTCTCAGGTGTTTGAAAAACTTAAGGACATCCACAACCTTGTGAGGAAGACCACCTCCTCATCCCCCCTCCTTCACCCTCATCTTCATCCCCCCTCCCAGTCCTTCCCCAGACCCCCCAGTGCACTGGATTCCAGCATAACAGCTCTCTCCCAACAGCTGTCCAAACTGGGACCACTGGAGGACACCTACCAGCCATCCCAGTCCACTTCCTCCTCCTCCTCTTCTTTCTGCTCCCTCACCCCTCCTCATCCGCTGCACTCTTCCTCTTCCCTCCTCCCCTCCTCCCCCTCTTTGGCTGGTCCCTGTGAAACCGATGAAAGTCGAGGCTTTTCCCAGTACAACCTTCGATCCAACGGGACCAGCTCCAGGTCTCTGTCTCCATCCACCAGAGACCAGTATCACAATCCAGCTGGGCCCTCACAGTCCCAGTTCACCCAACCTTCAGTCCCCACTGAGGACCAGTACAACTTTCCTCCCCAGCCCAGCAGCACCAGTGACAGATGTAGGCCTGGGGCCCTCACAGGGGCCCTCACGGAACCAGACACTAGAAGGCAGACCACAGCAGGGGGCACAGCAGGGCTCTATGGTGTCCCAGAATCCCTCTCTCCTGTGGGGTCCCTGCATTCATCGTCCCCGGGGGTCTCAGGTACGTCAACAGATTGAAAAAGGATGTCTAATATAAGCCCTGTCCCTAATATAAGCCCTGTCTCTAATATAAGCCCTGTCCCTAATATAAGCCCTGTCTCTAATATAAGCCCTG